AGCACTCCGGAGATTTATTCTTTTATGTGCGACATCGTTTGACATCATATACAACATCGTTGACCTGAGAGGGTTGACATAAGAGTAGCCTGTCAGCCAATCAGCATAAAGAGTCCTGGAATAAGGAAAGGAGCTCCGAGTGAAAAGTGAACATGTGCAATAGTCTGTGTGCACTCTTTTTGGTTGTAGGTGGCTTTTCTGTTCACAATGGGAAAGAATAAGACCTGCTGAAGGAAATAGTTACAGGGCTTTCTGGTGCTTTTCTTTTATGGAACCTGTCCACCAATGTTCCTCTCTCTTTTTCACTCAAGTAATCACCTGGCAGCAGCCCATCACACCTGAAGAAATGTTTTGAGCTGCCAGCAGGTCCTGACCACTGCAGTGTCTAGCCAAACAAGAAGAAGAGCATCAGAGCTGCAGCGAATTCTGATTAATTCCAGCTGCGTTATCTGCAGGAATAATTTGCAATCTTGTAACTTAATTATATTGGCGGAGGCTAATATAATTAGGCCGGCTGAAATTACATATCGTCGCTTTGAGTAATTGTGGAGGGAAAAGCCACCAGAGTGGAGCAGATGGAGGTGGAGTTTCTGGCTCGTTTCTTTTTTTTATTCGTAATGACCGACCATGGATGGAGTCTCACTTCCACTGGGAGGCCGAGAGCGTTCGGCATTCAGCCTGAGTTCTTTAGTTTTATTAGATGCTGATTACATTTCATTAACTGTTTCCATGTTCGGGTCCCTCTGTGCTTGTGCAATAAGCATAAATTATCCAGGTGGATGTAGACGCTGTTTGGTGCTGTATGGCGGTTTAGTAAGTGGCTATAATAACTGATAACTTCAGTAGAATTTGTGTGCTTAAAAAGCCACCTCACAGAAGGGCCCTGTGCTCAAGGTTTACCTGTTTTATGAGCTACCTAACTAACCTGTTAGCTCACCTTGAGTCTTAGCTTGCATTAGTTAAACCCTTTCCTGTTCCAGCCTGAGAGCCCCTGTGAACAAAGCAGCTCCATTAAGACATGGATTGAGATCAGGACCCTCACAGCACTCAGTAACCAAGGCTGTGATTGGTTTGAGGCTCATTTGCATGTTAAAGACTTCAGAAGGTTTGGAGTTTGTGGTCAGTAAAGCCTCCTCTGTTCTCTACAGAGCTTCAGCCTCCACAGGCCTGACTGAGACCCTCCTGCACTTTCTCCTGACCGCTCATTGGCTTTCAGTGGACGACAGGAGCAGGACGAGATCGGAATCAATTATCAGAGAGAGAGAAAGGCAGGAGAGAGAGGGGGAGGGGGTGAGAGAGAGAAGAATAGAATGATAGAAAGGTGAGACAGAGAGAGAAAGATTGAGAGAAAAAAGAGAAAATGAAAGAGAAGTGATAAAAGTAGAGAGAAAGAAAGAGAGAAGAAAAGAAGAAAATAGTAAGTGAGTGAGTGAGTGAGATAGAGAGAGACAGGGAGAAAAAAGGAGAGAAAAGAGAGAGAATGATAGACAGTAGAGAAGGGGAAGAGAGAGAGTGACAGAGAGAGACTGAGAAAAAAGAGAAAATAAAAGAAAAAGAGACAGAGATGGGGACAGGGAGGGAGAGAGGAGAGAAAAGGACAGAAAGAGATAGAGAGATAAAAGAAGAGAAAGACAGAGATGGAAAAAACCAAAGAGAGCGACAGAGAGTGTAGAGAAAGAAAGAGAAAGGAGGAAAGAGAGTGTCAAGAAAGGAGGAGAAAACAGTGAGAGGAGAAAAAGAGAGAGAGATGGGGAGAGAGAGCAAAGAAAAGAGAGAGAGGACAGATAAGGACAGAAAGAGAGGACAGAAAGGAGACGGGGAGAGAAAGAGAGATGGAAAAAAACAGGGAGAGAGACAGAGAGTGTAGAGAAAGAAAGAGATAAAGGATGAACGGAAGAGAGTCAAGAAAGGAGTAGAAAATTGTGAGATAGAGGAGAGAAAGAGAGAGAATGAAAGAGAATAGATAAAAGCAAGGAGAGAGAAACAAAAGATGGAAAAAAGACAGGGAGTGAGAAAGAGAGGAGAGAAAGAGGAAAACGAGAAAGAAGACACAAAGAGACTGTTAAAGAGTAGAGGAGAGAGAGAGAGAGAGAAAGCTAGAGCAAGAGAAGGGAGAGAACATGAAAGAGAAAAGAAGAAAGAGAAGAGAAAAAGACAGATAGATAGATAAAAGTATAAAGAAAAACAGAAAGAGACGGAAAAAAGAGGGAGAGAAACAGAGAGAGGGTGTAGAGAAAGAAAGAGGAAGAGGAATAGAGAGAGAGTCAAGAATGGAGGAGAAAATAGTGAGAGAGAGAGGAGAGAAAGAGAGAGACAAGAGAAAGAGAGTGATAGAGAGTAGAGAAGGAGAGAGAGAAAGTTAGAGAGAGAAAATGAGAGAAAGGTGAAAAATGAAAGAGAAAAGGAGAAAGACATAGAGACATAGGGAGAGAGAGAGCAAGAAAGAGAGAGGATAGAAAAAGACAGAGAGATAAAAGTAGAGAGAGAAAGACAGAGAAAGAGAGATGGAAAAAGAGGGTGAGAGACAAAAAGGAGGAAAGAGAGATAGTCAAGAATTGAGGAGAAGAGAGTGAGAGAGAGATGAGAGACAGAGAGAGACGGAGAGAGAAAGAGAGAGAAGAGAAAGAGAATAATAGAGAGTAGAGAAGGAGAGAGAGAGAAAGCTATAGAGAGAGAAAATGAGAGAAAGGAGAGAAAGAAAGAGAAAAGGAGACATAGAGATGGGGAGAGAGAGCAAGAAAGAGAGAGAGGAGAGAAAAAGACAGAAATAGAGAGATAAAAGTAGAGAGAGAGAGAGAGAGAGAGAGAGAGAGATGGAAAAAAGAGAGGGTGAGAGACATAAAGGGAGTGCAGAGAAAGAGAGAGACGGGAGAAAGAGGGACGCTGATGATGGTGGACATTTTGAAGGGCTGGTGATCAATTACTATCTATATTACTGTCTATATTACTATGATATAAATACATAAAAACCCACCTGTGGCTGAATGAGAATAACAGCATATAATACATATAATAAAGGAACATACAGCAGTGAGTTGAGAGCTGAAATAAGGGCAGCTATGATTTACAGCACAGTGGATCTCGATATTAATGCACCACTGCTAGAAAATATGAAGAAAGTACCATGTTTTATTTTACAGTAGTTATATTTGCATTTATACCGATCAGACATAACATTGTTTCTATGCTCATTGTCCATTTTATCAGCTCCACTTACTATATAGGTGCACTTTGTAGTTCTACAGTTACAGACTGTAGTCCATCTGTTTCTCTGCATAGCAGTGACACTGAGGTGTTTAAAGACTCCAGCAGCTCTGCTGTGTCTGATCCACTCAGACCAGCACAACACACACTAACACACCACCACCACATCAGTGTTACTGCAGTGCTGAGAATGATTCACCACCCAAATGGTACCTGCTCTGTGAGGGTCCATGGGGGTCCTGACCACTGAAGAACAGGGTAAAAGGGGGCTAAAAAAGTATGCAGAGAAACAGATGGACTACAGTCTGTAACTGTAGAACTACAAAGTGCACCTATATAGTAAGTGGAGCTGATAAAATGGACAATGAGTGTAGAAACAAGGAGGTGGTCATAATGTTATGCCTGATCAGTGTAAAGCAGTGAGTTGAGAGCTGAAATAAGGGCAGCTATGATTTACAGCACAGTGGATGTGGTTATTAACACACCGCTGCTAGAAAATATGAAGAAAGAACCATGTTTCATTTTACAGTAGTTATATTTGCATATAAATCTGTGTTTAAAGTTCTCATAAGGCCACATTTCCATATTTGAGTTCTAACGTCCTGTCCTCAGCGGCCGGACGGCTGATTGACGTTAACAGGCCGAATCGTTGGAACTCGAGGCATTTCTGAAAGGCTTTGTTCTGCAGCTCGTTCCGCCAGGGCCGCGGTCCACTGAGCCACTAAATGACCCTTTTCTATCTGAAAGACTGAACTGTAGCATTTCAGCATTTCAAACAGATCCGACTTGAGCCCAACAGAATGAGATAATGTTAGAAAAAAAAACACAAGCAGACAAACAAGGAGTCTGACCGTCTGCTGACCGCTCAGAGCCATCATTAAACTCCCCTTAACCCCAACAGCGGAGAGAATATGGTAGGAAACTCGCACTAAATGTAATATAAGGTGAGGAGAACATGAGGAAATACACAAAACATGTTTCTTAATTTATGGTTTCGTTTAGGAGTTTTGCCACACCTGCATCGCCCGAGTGAAAAAGTAATCGCTCCCTGGTTTAAAGGGGAATTCCACTGATTTTTCAAAAAATTCTACATAATTAAATGGTTGAGACGTAAACAAAGTTCATTCACAGTGGTTGGGTGTGAAATGCTCTGTTCTATGTTGCATGAAATGGTTATGAATTCTCTGCCTGATGACCGAGAAACTGTTTTATGATAGTTTTCAGAAGATTTTTGATCTAAAATGTACCTTTAAAATTCATTTATGGTGCAGGGGTACATGATGGGTGTTATAAGGCAAAATAGTCCCCAAAGAAAAATTATTATTTCAGATTTTCCACTCTTTTCCATCATCAACATTCCATATAAACTCAGAAGACTCGTGTAGGTTCACTGGTGGTTCCTATCACCACCACTGTAAAGACATCTGAGTCTCTACAATCAACTGTTATGCAGAAATTTGAAAATCAGTGGAATTCCCCTTTAAATGAAGCAATGCTAGCTTGCAAAATCGATCAATGGAAACATATTTAAACATTTTAATACATGTTTTGATAAATAAACCATTCTATTTTCCCAGAAAGAAGAGCAAGTTGGTGCCTTGCTCTCCAGATTGTCGAGCCGTTCGGCTCCATTCACACCCATTCATTTTGGACTTCGTTCTCTTTGTCGCCCTCTAGCGACGCACTACGGTATTGCCATGATGTTTGCGTACAGTGGGTGGATAAGGAGTGGGGGGGGCGGGGCAGCAGGGACCGCCTCGTTTTTCCACCCCTCCTTTTACCCCAGCAGGGGCGCGTGGACGCGCAGGCGGTGGCGCGCAGAGTTCTCTCGTGGAGGACGTGCAGGGAGAACCGGTGGAGGGGCGAAAACTTTTACGCAGGCGGACTGTCAGAGCGTGAAGTTTCATTTCGACGCTTATGAGAGACACGAGACATGTAAGATGTTCTACTTTTACTTCTTATTGTTGACGAGGCTGAAGTTGGCTTCTTGTTGGAATTTACCCGTTCCACCTTAAATGGTGCAGCACTTACATTCTGGCAGCTGAGGCGCAGGAATGTAACTGCTGCACCATTTAAGGTGGAACGCGGAATTCCGAGAAGAAGCTGGGAAATAAGAAGCTTCAGTTCGCACTGACACCGATGCCATCAAGAGCAGCACTGATGCCACTCTGAGGTGGTCAGCACTGGCATTTCCAGGCGGAATCTATCCTGTCAATCATTGCTTTGATTTGCACTGACAGATAAAAGGTGTCAATATTTAACCGGCTCTCACGTGCCCGTGATTTTCATTGTGAGCGTGAGAAGTGAAAACAGGAAACTGTTGCTTATGTTGCTGCTGGAGTTCATTTAAAGTTGGGTTTGCACTAAAAAAAGTGCTGCTTGGTTCAAAAACACAGTTATGGATAAAAATAAACTGGAAAATAAAATTGAGGATAATTGTGCTGATAATTAATTGTAGAAATTAAGTGGTCCTCAGCCATGCTTCTGGAGATCTAACCAGGGGGGTTTCAGTCCAGCCTCAGAGCCAGGGGTCATTTTCATCATGTTTTAGCTCTGAACACATCTCAGCCAGGTAACCAAGGTTTGTACAGTGCTGCTTACCTGGCTCAGGTGAGGCTCAGGGACCAGGTTTTAGCTCCATCCTTGTCCAGACTGTCTTCAGTCATTTGACTAGCTGGATCAAAACATTTGGGTTTTTTGTACTGTATACACTTTGGGAATGCGTGTGGATGACCATGGAGGTGCGTGAAGTAAGTTTTATGATGTTTACTGGACAGCACATACGTTATTATACATAATTATGTTGCCGTGAAAAAGTATTTGCACCCTCCTGATTTCCTCTGTTTTTGCGTGTTTGTTTTCCGATCCTCGTACAAAATGTAGTAGGGAGGAAAAGAGGACATCAGGGAAAACACAAAACACATTTCCTAAATTATCATTCTGTTTAGGTGTTTTGCCGCACCTGCATCGCCTGTGTGAAAAAGAAATTGCCCCAAAACGTAATGATGAGTTTATGCCACCTTAAGCCGCAGCCAAACGCTTCCTATAACCAGAGATCGGTCTTTTGCATCCATGTTAAGCAATTTTGGACCACTTTTCTTTTCAGAGTTGCTTTAATTCAGCCACATTGGAGAGCTTTTGAGCATGAACATCCCATTTAAGGTCCTGCCACAGCATCTCCACGAGGTTCAAGGCCACTCCAAAATATTCATTAATATTAACCCAGTTGAGCTTGAGCTTTAGTTCATGGACTGATGACCAGACATCATCATGCAGAATTTTCTGGTGAACGGCAGAATTCATGGACACGTCAGTTATGAAAAGCCGTCCAGGTCCTGAAGCATCAAAGCCTCCCCACACCATCACACTACCACCACCATGTTTCACTGCTGGTATGATGATCTTATGTGGAATGCTGTTTGCTTTATGCCAGATGTAACGGGACCCCTGTCTTCCAAAGACTTACACTTTTGACTCCTTAGTCCACAGGACATTATTGCAAGAGGGTTGTGGGTCATCAAGGTGTGAGACGAGCTTTTATTTTCCTCTTAACAGTGTTTTTTCGCCTCGGCTCTCGCACTGATACCATTTTTGCAGAGTCTTTTTCTATTAGTGGGACCATGAAGCTGACTTTATCTAAAGGTGACCTGCAGTTCCTTAGATGTTCATCTTAGATGTTATTTTATGACTTCCTGGATGATCGCTGTGCTCTTGGAGACTTTTTATATGTTTTCTTCATTTGGAGATGACGGCTTTGTGGTTCTCTGGAGTCCCAGAACCTCGGGAAATGACTTTGTAACACTTTCCACACTGATACAGTGCAGTAACTTTTTTTCCTCTGGAATTTCTTTTGTGCTGCTTGTTGAGGTCTTTTAGCCCACTTCACTTCAGACTGCTATGCTCTATTTGAGTGATGTTTAGATTCAGCAGGGCTGGCAGTAAACAGGCCTGAGTGTGTTTAGTTTAATAGATCTCATTTGAGCCCTTTTCAACAAGAAACAGTGACATTTCTTGTAAAAATAACTCGAGCATGGTCCGGCATGGTTTGATGCCTGTATTTAAAGCAAAGGGGTCACTTAAACGTACTAAAGCAAAGGCATTTTTTTGGCTTTAAATGTAAACTTTTGTACAACATTAAATAGAAAACTGATAATCCAAAAAAGGGTGAAATGGTTAATATATGATTTTTCCATTGAGGGGATCAATTATCAACTACATTTGGTTCATTAAGTAACTAAGGAGACAATTATTTTTTCAAACAAGGCCAGTTTTTTTCCTTCAGCAAGTGAAACGGTCATTTAAAAGAGTCTTTTGTGTTTACTAAGGTTTTCTTTGTCTTATATTAAACTTTGAAGATGTGAAATAATTAAGTGTGACGAATATACAAAAATAGAAGAAATTAGGAGGGGCAAATACTTTTTCACATCACAGTATATAGATAGATGGTGGATGGATGGATGGACTGTATGATTCCAGAGGAGAAACTGAAGATCTTAGTTATGGACCTTTGTGACCTCGCAAAAGATTCAATTTAATTGCGATTCAGTGAATCCTGTAATCTCAAATGTCACCATGACTCGATTCAGTTTGATTACTATGGTCTGAATCAGAAGTCTATTTAAAAAGCCGTAAAAGTACATTTCATTAAAAGTTATTACATTACAAAGTACATTACATTACAAGTATTTCATTTTGGCCAAAAAGTGAGTGAATACTTATTAAATACTGTATAAATCAGTGCAGTTGAATTGCAGTACGACGGCGTTTTAGGGCCACTGTTAATAAAAATAAAAATAGTAGGCTTCGAGAATAAAGTTGTACTATTTCGAGAAAAAAGTCATAATATTTTGAGAAAAAAGTCGTACAATTACGACATTAAAGTGGCACTAATACCAGGAAAGGTCGCAATAAAATGAGGGGCGTTGAGTTGGTGGAGTTTTAATTTCATATTCTAGATAAATACTTTCGTGTTTATCTAGAATAAAGAGCCAGACGGACTCGGAGGAAACTGTCTGTCTGTGTTGTTGAAGGAGAATCTCAGGCAGGGTCGTCTACATGGCTATCGGGGGCTACATCTCCCCCCATTCAAAGAGGGCATGAAGTTTCACAGACAGTGCGAATGATGATCAAAATGATCCACAGAGAGACAGGAGTGAGTGGAGCTCCGGCGCCAGGGCAGCAACCGAGACCCCAATGCGTTATGGCAGCCCCCTACAGTTAGCCCCCCTACAGTTAGCCCCCCTACAGTTAGCCCACTTTATCCTCCAAATATTATGACTTTATTCTCGAAATATTACAACTTTATTCTCAAAGTCTACTATTTTTATTTTTATTAACAGTGGCCCTAAAACGCCGTTGTATTGCAGCCATACGTTGCAATGAATTTTTACGCTCTAAATCTTCACAGTAAACATCCAAAAACTGCAAAAACTCCACTTTTTCTTTTTGGTGACCTTTTTTTTGCATTTCGCTCTCGTTTCTTGGTTACAGGTCTGAGCTGGAGTTACAGTGAGACAGAGATGCCCAAACGCTCCAACACACACACACAGGAGGTGTGGACTGAGAGAGCGTAGAACACACACACACGCTCTGATTGGTGAGTTCATCTCAAGACATGTTTGCTCTCCAAATTTCGCCCCTTTCTTAGTTCAGCGCTGGAGCTGTGAGCCTACTATTGCTAACAAACACTAGAAGTCAATAGTCACCTAAATCTTTTCTGTAAATATGTTGCCCAAAACATCTCTAAACCCGATCAGACTTCATCCAGGCCTTCAGCGAGGTTGCTCAGGCTAAAGCCGGGGTTACACTACACGACTTTTACCCCGATTTTAGCCCCGATTCTCAGTCTGGCTGAGTCTGAGCTGGTTGGCTCTAGTCTGCAGATTGACGGTCTGAGTCGACAGTTGGAGAGAGAGTTGAGTCGTGTGTGAGGGGCGTAGACTCAGATTTACTGCCTCCTGATCGCGTTTCAGACCAGTCAGACCAGAGTTCATCAATTGTGATTTTTGAACCCGACTCTGAGCACCATCTACTGTAAACTGGTCAACGACTCAATCTGAACAGACTCCTGTAATAGCCAGTGAAAACTGCGAGTGCGGAAGAAGAAAATACAGCAAGTAAATAAAGAAAAATGGTGAAAAGTCTCTCACGTGTGGATGAGCTGAGTTTAAGGCACAACCGAGTTTATGTTAATTTAAAACTCTAAAAATACCAAACTGATCACATTTTTAAATCATTCAGCCACTTAAACATGTTTATCTGCTGCTTCTTTACTGTTTCAGTGCAAACGGCAGAGAAAACAGCAGCAGCAGTTCTCATTCTCGTTTGTTCTAGCGAGTTCAGTGAGCTCCGTTCGGTTCAGCAGCAGCTTGTTGAGTAGTGTTTGATCCCTAATCGTTTAGTGTGGATCCCCAATATTTCGGTCGCCCCAAAAAAATCTGTAAAACCAGTGTGAGAGTGTCAGACTCCCAGCCTTTTATAATCTGTTCAGACTTTAAAAGTCGTGTTGTGAACCCACGGCTTAAGCATTGCTTATGCATTGCTCCCCTTCACATACTGAGAAACTGCAGTAGATCTTATCAGTACATCCAGCATCTATTGGTGTAAGAACTATGTGGCTGAAATGGGCTTTTAAAGTCTAATTCTCAGTTCTACCTTAAATGGTGCAGCAGAACTGAGAAGTGGTCTTAAAAAGCCCATTTCAGCCAAAATTAGAATAAGAAGATGGCGAATATAAACCACATAAAAGTTTGTTAGGCTCTGTTATTCTATTTTTGGATCTTTTTGGTCTAAAATAAAATGCTGAAGCTCCAAAGAGAGGTCAGAGTAGCAGTCCAGGGACGAAACAACACACCCAAAAAATAGAATTTAGGAACTAAATTTTAATCCCTAAATGGTGCTGAGGAAAATGTGGATTACTTTACTCACTGAAATACTAAAATGTCATTTGAATTTACATTTTCACTGCTTCCAGGCGAGATGGGCTCCAGCCTGACGTGTGCGGGTGGGATTTGGGCGCTGTTGTCGCTGCTGTGCGCCGCCGCGTCCTGCGTCGGCTTCTTCATGCCCTACTGGCTGCTGGGTTCTCAGATGGGGAAGCCCGTTTCGTTCGGAACATTCCGGCGGTGCTCATACCCGGTGCGGGACGAGGCGCGGGGGGGAACGGTGATGCTGGAGCAGTGTGGACGATACGCCTCGTTCCAGGGAATTCCCAGCCTGGAGTGGAGGATCTGTACGGTGGTGACGGGGACGGGCTGCGGCCTATTGCTGCTGGTGGCGCTGACCGCTATCATGGGCTGCTGCGTTACTGACCTCATCTCACGCACCATCGGACGAGTCGCCGGAGGGATACAGTTTGTTGGAGGTGAGGTGATGGATGGATGAGTGAGTGAGAAGTGGGGCTGTAAATTGCTACGATTCAATTATGGTTCTTTAGGAAACGATTCATTGCATCGTGACGTCAGAGTCCACTACAGACCGATTGTTTAGGAAATGATTCAGTGCGTTATGAAATCTCAAATTTCACTAGAGTTGGATTCTTTAAGAAACAATTCAGTGGATCCTGAAATCTCAAATTTGACCATGATTTGATTTGATTCTTCAAAAAATGAATAAGTGGACCATGAAATTTAAATTTGGCCATGATTTGTTTTGATTCTTTAAGAAACAACTCAGTGGATCATAAAATTAAAAATTTCACCATAATTTGATTCTTTAGAAAATGATTCAGTGGATCAAGATATTGTAAATTTGGCCAAGATCAGACTTGATTCAGTTGGACGTAATTCAGTGCATCATGGAGTCTCAAATTTCACTTTCACCACACTTCGTTTTGATTATTTAGGAAATTCTACATTGCATCGTGAAATGTCCATATGATTCAGTTCTGTAGGAAACTGTGCATCAAAAAATATCAAATTTGACCGTGATTTGATTTGATTCTTAAAGAATTGATTCAGTGGCTCATAAAATTTCAAATTTCACCACAGTGTGATTCCTTAGGAAATTATTTGGTGCATCGTGAAATGTCCATATGATTCAGTTCTTTAGGAGAAGATTCAGTGCATCACAAAATGTCATATTTGACCAAGATTTGATTTGATTCTCTAGAAAATGATTCATTGCATCATGAAGTCTTCAATTTCACGACAATTTAGTTTGATTCGTTAGGAAACAATGCCGTTCGTCATGAAATCTTAAATTTCACCACAGTTCAATTTGGCTTATCGAGATCCGATTCAGTGCATTATGTAATCTTAAATTCTACTACGGTTTGATTCTTTTGATACGATTCATTCAGACACGTGTTTAGTGAGCTGTTCCTTGGCTGATGGTCAGAGCAGAGACGTCTGAGGTTTCGCTGTGTGTGTGTCTGTGTTTGTTTTGGTGAAGTGGCTGGGACCTCCGGCTGATTGGAGGTAAAAATCTCACAGGCTGCTGATAACGAGTCCGAACTGTTTGGTGATGCTGAATAATGAGAGATTTACACACAGACTCTGCTTTCCTTCACTCTGACTCCAAATGCCGAGAAATGAGCTGGTGCAGATGTGTGTGCCTGCACTCCTCTTCCGCTGCGCCTCCTCTCTGTTCCTGTAGTTCAGTGTGACCTCTACACTCTACAGGATCCGCTTCTTTCCTTTATTTCTCCGCTCACTCTCTTCTGTAAACACACCCACACCCTGCTCTGTTTAGTGATACGTTACTCGATAACAAGAAAACATTTCCCTGTTTACTGTATGGCTCTCGTTCTCACGGCGCGGCTTATGTTTCTCTTTCACCTCTTTCTCTCTCTCTCTCTCTCTCTCTCCCTCTCTCTCCTTTATCTCTCCACCTCTCCTTTCTTTCTCTCGTTCTGGCCTTCTTTCTTGCTCTCATTTTTCTTTTATTCTCTCTTTCCTTCTCTCTCTCTCTTGCTTTTTTCTCTCTCTTTAATTCCCCTTCTATTTCACTCTCTCTCTCCCTCTCTGTTTCTTTCTCTCTCCTTTCATGTCTTTCTCTTCTCTCCCCTTTTTCTCACCTCCCACTTTCTCTTTCGCTCCCCCCTTTCTCTCTCTCTCTCTCTCTTTCCTTTTCTGTCACCTTCTCTTTCTTTGCCTTTCTGCTTTTTTCTCTTTTCTTTACACTCTTCCACTTTATCTCTCTTTCCTCTTTTTATCTCCTCTCTCTCTCCTTTTTCTGTCACCTTCTCTCTCTTTCTCTTTGCCTTTCTGCTCTCTTCTGTCTCTCTCATCAGTCAGATTACATTCCTCCCACATCCAGAGCCTCTTTTCCTTGCACACACACACACACACACACACACACACCTACACACACGTGTAACCAGTGTGTTCAGGTTCTTCACGTATGAAGCCGTGTGTGTGTGCTTCTCACAGTGCTGTTTACAGGATCAGTGTGAGCTGCACTCTCTGGTTACGCAGCCACGCTGCTGTGACACATGCAGGATATTTCTCGATGTAGTCATCTTGAAATCAGCCTGGACGTCCCTGAAAAAGGCAGAATATGTTGCTACTAAGTGTGTTCAGTGTTAGTGGTGCTTTCTCAGACGTGCATGTTACTCACTAACCCCCCCCCTCCACACACACACACAAACACACATACACACACCATGACACATGCTGGATTTTTAACTTTATGCTGGTAACAGTCGGGATGGTCCTTTACTGCTTTAGCCTGGAGACCACGACGTCCATTATTTCCTTCCACAGTGTGAAAGAGTCCAGAGAAGTCAGCAGGATTTCTAGATGGTGATGACATACGACAGGGGCGTCAAACTCAACCACTAATAGGGCCATATTTAAAAATCTCAACAAATCCGAGAGCCAGAGAGCGTTTATATTTTAATACGGCAAGACGTCAACAGCAAAATATGGCTACTTATAGTAAACCTTCAAATATTACATGTGAATACTTGATATATTTAGGCTACATTAGCTACAGATAACTGTTAAATCTCTTGAAATGTCCCCAGGATGTAGGTCTGTTAAACCTACCTGTGTGCTCGGTCTCGACACCTGACGTCTTTTCTTTCTGCAAGTTCATTAGATCTTGGGATCAGTTTTTGAGCTGATGAGTGTTTATCGTGTTTATGCTGGTTGACATGCTGCTGAAACACAGCTGGTGTGTTTGGTAATATGAAGTTTGCATTTGAGTAGAAAACTGCTGTCCCATAGATTGTTGTTGGGAGTGGGGTGTCAGTGCAAATTACGTTGCAGTGCATGCTGGGGATTGTAGTGCAGCTGATTGTGAAATGGGCTAATATTAATAGAAAGATTGGATTGTGCCACGGGCCTGATCTGGCCTTGAGTTTGTGGGTGCAAAATCAGTGATTTGATAAGACAAAACATTAAATATCTTGTTATTGTGCTGTTTTTGCTGAAATACAGGTCAAAGTGGAAGAACAAACCTCTGTTTTCTGGTTTTATTAGTTTTGATTGGCTGGCAGAAGAAAGCGATGTTATTTTTGATGTAACGTTAGTAGGACCCACTTATGTTGCACAGTACAAGATATGTAATAATAAACACACAGTGTGTGTGTGTGTGTGTGTGTGTGTGTGTGTGTGTGTGTGTGTGTGTGTGTTTGTGTGTGTGTGTGTGTGTGTGTGTTTGGAGCTGTGAGGTGCAGTCATGTCACGGTTCAGTCCTCCAGCCAGCAGCAGTTTCCTTTTCCTCACTGAAAGCTGAAAATCTCTCTGATGTCTGATTTTACGGCGTCTATAAACAGAAGGTCAGCCGCCTGCAGCAGTTCAGCAGATAAACCCACCTTCAGTTCCTCCTCTTACTGTACTGAGAGTCGTAGTCAGACAGCAGGAGTCTGTTCTGGTTTCTGCTGGAGACGGGAGGGGGGAATGAAATACAACGACACCACTGATATGGATCTGTACCTTACACTCTTTTCTGTGGTCATGCTACTCCCATTTCCATAGCTACGTTACAGCCATTTCCATTGTTGCACTACAGTCATTTCCATAGTTATACTACAGTCACTTCGTTGGTTACACTACATCCATTTCCATGGTTACGCTACACTCATTTTCATAGTTACACTACACATGTCTATATGATTTCACTGCAACCATTTCCATGGTTATGCTTCAACTATTTCCATGGTTACGCTTTAGCCACTTCCATGGTTACGCTTCAACTATTTCCATGGTTACACTACAACCATTTCCATGGTTACGCTTTAGCCACTTCCATGGTTACGCTTCAACTGTTTCTGTGGTTACACTACAACCATTTCCATGGTTACGCTTTAGCCACTTCCATGGTTACGCTTTAGCCACTTCCGTGGTTATGCTTCAGCGATTTCCATGGTTACACTAAAACCATATCCATGGTTATGCTTCAACCATTTCCATGGTTATGCTTCAACAATTTCCATGATTACGGTTTAGCCACTTCCATGGTTACACTTCAACTATCTCTGTGGTTACGCTACAACCATTACCATGCTTATGCTACAGCCAGTTTCCATGGTTATACTACACACATTTCTATTGTTACACAACAGCCATTTCCGTGGCTATGCTTCAACCATTTCCAAGGTTACGCTAAGCGACTTTCCAAAGTAAAGCTGGTAAATTCTGAGGAGACGATCCATTCTATCAGCTCTAACTTCAGTAACGTTACAATTGCGTAGCTGTTAATTACCAGATAACTTAGTTAGCTGAACTTAGCAGGTATTCACCTCTTAGATTCTCCAGTTTATTAAATCCCAAGGCTTATTATTCACTAATTGCATGCAAAACAATACAACCTGACTCAATTATTTGTGAATTATAGGGGTGAGGAATGGAAGCCTGGACTATTTAAAGGGTTAACGTTGGTGTTAGCAAGTACTACAGCTTGATTTTTGTTGGCCCAAACGCTAAGGTAGTAGCTAAAGTTAGTCGTAAGAATTAGTGCTGTACTATATGTGTGAAATTCTGTCAACAATAATTTGAGACAGGGGAAGTTAGCTTTCCCAGGCTGTAGGTGTTTCTCAGCAGTGTGTGAGCTCTGGAACATGAGTAAATGACATTAGTGCTAAGGATTGTGGGATACAGTCTGGTGCTGCTGTGTGCTAAGGCCACTGGTTTAACGCATGATGTAGAATTAGCACTCAGGAATGCTGTTAATTACAGATAGCGAGCAGGAGCCAGACGTCTGAGGAGTTTAACACCTCTAAAAGCTCCTTCACAGATGGATATGAACACATTGTTCTTTAGGCCTAAAACACTGTTTTAAAATCCAGTCATGGTGGAGGGATACATGCAGGGTGTGGTGAGGCAAAATAGACACCCAAAGGAAACTTATTATTTCAGATTTACCACTATTTTCCCATCATCGACATTCCATATAAACTCAGAAGACTCGTGTAGGTTC